GGCGCGGCTAGCTTGGCGTCACGGTTTGTCTTGGCACTTGTGGCACTTGTGGTCGGGTGGTGCGTGTGGGTGTGTATGTCCTCCGCGCTGCATGACGTCCAGGGGCCCTGGGGTTGGTCTCTTGTTTCCATCGTTGCGGTTCCGCAGCCGGTGGGAGGTTAACAACCCTAGCCTCCCTTTAACGACCCCCAACTACCGCCCCTACCCCACCCACCCATCCCCTCCATGTCCGGTTCATCCGTTCCCTCCCCCCCCGACCAACCCCGAGTTTCCCTCGCTCGCTCTCCCCGCCATATACACACACGCGCACATACACACACGCACACACGCAGGCACACTACTGTCCCTCATACCGCTGGGAAGCTGATCTCCAATCGCCCATCCGGTGGGAAGTGTGTTTGACACGGTCCGTCATCTCCCCCTCCCCCCGCCACACGTACAGTCCCCGGGTACCAGCAGTCCAGGGGGGGTGGGCACCACTCGTCCAGCGCCCAATGGAGGACCCACGGAGGGACACGGGGAAAGAGGGGTGGAGGCGGCGGGGGAGGGCAGCTGCAGGACGACCTGTGGAAGGGCGAGAGTGGAAGGTGAGGGGGAAGGAAAGGGGGGAGAAAGGGATGGATGGATAGATCGAGAGAGGAATTCAAAACCAAAAAAATGAAAATCGACTGTCTGCACCATTGTCAGTTTCGCCAACGCAAAAATGGAGAGGAGGAAGAGGGGGAGGGGGTCGGTGGGAACACCGTATCGTGTGGGGTGGGTGTTCTGGAAAGGAGACTGAGCTGCACAAAGCGATGGCAGCGTGATGTGTGTCTGTATGTTGTTACAGGGTGATTAACTTCGCCAGCGGCCCCCTTTCCCGGGGCAGTCCCTGCTCTCCCCTGCTAGAGGGGCACCCTAATCCGTCACCCCATCCGACTTCAGAATGTATTCGTTGGGTTCGGCAACTCACCACCAGCATCCAACCAAATCTAGCGGATCAACGGTGCATCAACTTAGTTCCTGGTCAGCTCGCAAGTTGATATTATCACGTCCTACACCGTCCATGTGATGGGGGGCCACCTCCCATTTCATCACTCCTCAAACACCCGAGGAGCTGGCAGGCGGATTTGAACCCGGGTCGACTGGATCGACAGGGAGCAGAAGTCAGGCCTTAACTTCTGCCAGCCGCCTGCCTGTGTCTGTATGTTGTTACAGGGTGGTTAACTTCGCCAGCGGCCCCCTTTCCCGGGGCAGTCCCTGCTCTCCCCTGCTAGAGGGGCACCCTAATCCGTCACCCCATCCGACTTCAGAGCGTATTCGTTGGGTTCAGCAACTCACCACCAGCATCCAACCAAATCTAGCGGATCAACGGCGCATCAACTTAGTTCCTGGTCAGCTCGCAAGTTGATATTATCACGTCCTACACCGTCCATAAGATGGGGGGCCACCTCCCATTTCATCACTCCTCAAACACCCGAGGAGCCGGCAGGCGGATTTGAACCCGGGTCGACTGGGTCGACTGGGAGCAGAAGTCAGGCCTTAACCTCTGTATGTATGTACCGGCCGAACTGTGTGTTCCTTTACAGGCAAACCCTACAGACAGAACTGCGTCCTCAAACCTGCGCACAAAGGCGAAAGTAGAACACCAGACCCTCATGCAAAGCTTACTACAAATGGTACGACATGTACGATAGGTAATCATACGACCTGATCGGACGGCGAGAGGGCATGACCTGTGATGATGTGGTGTCGCAGTACAGCATGAGATCATCACCCTGCCCAGGGCACGTATGTCCGTACGGAAGTACGGCAGACCAGGCGGGCAGCCAGGGCTGCGAGGAGCACCTCATGAATGAGCACACGGCATTAAAATGAGCTCAAATAGATATGTGGTGTCATGAGTGACCTTTAAGATCCATCATAAGGGCATCACATCCATCCCTTGCAGCGACCTCACCCACACAACCCCGGCGCCTCACCACCGCTACCACCACCATCACCAGCTCACTCCCCCTCCGCCCCCCTCTGACAGCACCTCCACCTCCCCCCTTCTCACCTCCAGGCCCCCGCCCCTTCCCCCGGACCCCGCCCCTCCAGTGGAAAGTGTGCCGCCGCCGCCGCCGCCGCCTCAGTCAGCTCCACCGGCCCCTGAAGATGGTGCCACCAGACGGCGTCTGCAGCCATAGCTGCTGCGGAGGCGCTGGCTGATGGTGGGTGCAACAGCAGCGGGTCGTAGCGACTGCGTTGCCCTGGTAGGTTTGGTACGTGTGGGGGTTTGGAGGGGAGGGTTGGGGGACAGGGGGGAAGGTCATGTGGTCACGGTTAGGGGGTAAGCGGGAGATGCAGGAGCGGGACTGGAATAGGGTGTTGCCGACTGGAGTAGAGACATTAGAGAACGGCGCGGCGGACAGGAGTTTGTTGTGACTGCACCGCGGGAGTGACAGATACAGCAGCGCAAACCTGTGCGGGAGGGCTGCAGGGCCTTCGTGGAAGGGCGTAGCCCCGAAGCGACCCGAGGTCTGAAGCTGCGACAAGTCGAAGAGGGCTTTTGTCAGGTTGTCGAAGGTTATTGAGCGGAAGAAGTGATGAAGACGCAATATTGGTACCTTTGCACCACAGGATGGAGTGGGAATGCACAGTCCCGGCAGCAAAAAGGTGATAAACTAACATCATAAACTCCCTATCGACTGGGGTTTTTCCATTAAACTCCTTGGGACTACTCCTTAACAGACAGAGTGGTTACTCCATGTTAGCCGCCTGTTTAGTGGACGTCATTCGAAGATGGAGTTCCGCCCAAGTAACAGTTGTCTAATATTTCATGCGGTATGCGAAGAAAAAGGCGTTCCTCACGGAAAATGTAAAAGCATGGATAGGGTGTTTGAGCAGGGAAGAGTTGGCCAAGCGGCGAGTCACATTGGATTTGTAGTGCATGTAGACAAGGATCTCATTATTAGGGGAGGTTTGAGTCACGTGACAACACCGGGGTCTTGTGGAGTTCGGTCTGTCGTTTTGAACGGGGTCAACTTTTCAATCCGGACTGCCCAGTCCGGTTTTGACCAAGGTCTTGCCGTAGGCAGACAAGTTTTATTGGCCGAGGAATCCCCATGCTTTGTAAAGATCCAGCTGTCGTTATGGTTTCGGAGCGAGGCAGCCCAATCTATTTTGACCTAAGGAATTCCCACGCCCATCGAAGGACCACTTGCAGACGGGAAAATTTGTTTCCAATGAGACAGTCTCAAATTGGGTGAAGTAGTATTTCCCATTCCAGTCATCTTTTGCGAGCCACCCTGCTTCCTTACTAGAGTGAACCGCCCGCCATTCCACCGCCCGCCATTCCAAGCTTAAGGTAGGCGCGAACGTTGTCCTCGCCGGAGAACGCACGCAGACACGTGCACACGGACGAAGCACAGGCATGAGGTCATATTGTCCAAGTAAGGGACGCCTAGCACCCCTTCGGCGGCACCACTGCGAGTCCAGTTTCAATGGTTGCCGGTAAGTCACTGCTGTCATTAGGACATATCCCATGGAACTGAAGAATATATTGATGGAAGGGCTGTTGTAACGAGGAGAGCACATGTTCCTGCAAGTCCTTCCTAGGCAACTTCATGCAGTACATGCAGGAACGCGCAGCCGCCTCTCCCGCTGAAAAATAGTAGACTTGAATTAATCACGAGCCCTCAGTTCCAAAAGGTAGAGCACAATCCTTATATCCTGAAATTAGAGAATGTATGTACAAAACTCCCGCCTGCTGAATTCTTCGGGTACATCGACATGGCCTCGCATGGATTGGGACTAAAACATGTACACCTACTATCATTAACTTCTTAACTTCGTAACAGATTTCTTGACAGAGTGTGGCGCCATTACGTGATAGATGTCTTCGATGACCCGGCCTTCAATGTCACCTGCAGTTCTAGAGTTGGAGTTAACTCCAATGTCGCAACTCCAACCGGAAATATTGCCCCAATCGGCTGATCCTTCTGGGATGACTGCAGAGCATGTCTGCAGTCATCCTTTACCTTCTTTCGAGTTGCAACTCCATTCGGAAATATTGCCCCAATCGGCTGATTCTCCTGGGATGACCGCAGACATGCCACAATCAGAAGATTTGCAACTCCAGTCAGAAGATTTCTTCCAATCAGCTGATTCTTCTGCAGTCATCCCAGCTGGGATGACTGCAGATATGCCACAAGAAGCTTTACCTTGTCGCTGGGTTCTGAGCTCAGATAGCTCGAGCTATGGCAGCACTCCCTTCCATAAGCGGATTCCTGTCACCAAGTCCCGACCAACATCCTGCGATTGGGTCAAGCTCGATGAACTAGGCGAGGTGCTCCTAATTGCTGGAGAAAATTACGAATTATCATTATGGGATTTAGGACGCAGTTCCTCCGTTTGGAAGTACTCGGTTACCCAATTCGATAGCGGTGCTTCGCAGCCAGCGCCTCCTCCCAGCGTAAGCTTAGGGCATCCGAACTTCACAGTATGCAAAGGAGCAGGCAGCAATGTATTTTTCAGCTGCACGGCCGATGGTTCTGTTCAACGATGGAAATGTTTCAAGGTGATTCTGTACCCAGAGCTTCTCCTGGCAATGATGTAGGATCACTGCGACGATGAGTTCGCCATACCAGCACATGTGCTTCCGCACGGGCTGTAGCTTTCCATCTGCTGCCTTGTAGCATCAGTAAATTATTCTTCCTGCTATATAGTGCTATGCGGTAGATTTCAATGAGCCGGCTTATGTGTTGATGCTAGGCGTGCTGAGTTTCCCTGATGGCTCAGCAAAAATAAGTGCGATATGTATTTCTTTCCTTGCCACAACCTTCTCTGCTGGTTGGCATGTCTCCATAGTGTGCAGCAGTACTTGTGCGTTGCTATTTCGCTTACATCCTTTTATGTAAATTGTGCGCAGGAGGAAGGGCATTGGAAGGCTATCTGCGAGGATCAAAAGGCCCTCCATCGAAACCCTGTCAACAGCATATCTGCGTTTACTAGTCACACGCTGGAAGGGACAATGCTAATGATGACCTGTTCTGTCGAGGCCGTACAGGCCTGGGATGCCTCCAATATGCAGATCGTCTGGACGCTATCCTTACCAGAACACATGGTTTACTTGAACCAGGTATGTAGGGTCGACACATGAGAGGGTGCAGCTGCCAAGCTGGAAGAGATAAGCGCGAGCGGCTGCTTTATTTGTTGCATGAGCCCGCGGCTAATACACATGCACACGCACGGTTGTGGGCCAATGGGCGGTTGTGTGACATATGTCAGTCTGGTCGTCTGTCCGTCTGTTTGCATGTCTGTCCGTCCGTCTGCCCGCCCGCATGTACAGGATGTGTTGTTAGGGTTGGACTGCGAAAGTGACAGCATGGCATGCCGTACTATGTACATACATAATATAGTACGGCATGAATAGTACGGCATATCTACATGACGGCCTGCTGTGAACACGGGCCTAAGAGGACTGCGTAGGTAGCTCTAGGTGAGGTTCTCTTAGGTAGCCGGTGATGCCTTGCAAGCGGGGATTGCCCGCCATCATGTTTGTCTGCGTCCTGCCAGACACCCACCACCTGAACACTGGTGCATATTAGGTATGTGGATCTGCTGCGACAAAGGACGGCACAAGGGCTATCGTCATCTCACAGTCAGGTCGTGTCGTCATCTACGACATCACGAGGGATACACCAGTAGTAAAGGTAATGATCGCGCCCAGCGCTCCAACGAAGCTGGACGTGTGTGCAATTAGCCAGGCTGCTGGCAAGGCGGCTGCAACCAGCGGTGAAGATGGTGCGCTGTATTGTTGGGACATCAAGACAGGGGAGCTGTGCTACAGCACCAAGTTTGGACTGCAGGGTGGCCGAGGTACTCCCCTCAGCAGCTGCTGCTGTTTCAGTCCTTGTGGACAGTTTATCCTGGTATGATCGCGTCGTTGTTGGATGGGATGCTGGGCAATGGATGGATTGACAGGGTGGGAGTGTTAGGGAAGGGCAAGGAGATGTGCACGTGCATGAATGTGTAAGACCAGACAAAGAGCACTTGCGGGAAATGCCAAGGGGAGCTGATCCCTTCTTACAGTCCTCCGCCCCTCAAGCGAACGTCCTCGGGCGCCCCCTGGCATATCCCGTGGGATTGTTCACGTAGTCCGTCTTAGTCCGAGATGGAGGTACTTAAATTTACCCAGATTTGTTAGACATGTCGCCCACCGGGTACATCATATAACCCTGGGTACCAGGGTTCGACACTGACCTTCCCGAAACTTGCGGGATCCCCCGAACCTCCCAAATTTTCCTTACGGAGGGGCCCCCGTACCAGGCTCCTGTACTGGCCGAAAACCTTACGGGGGCCCCCGTAACCCCGCAAAAACTTTACGGGGACACTGTCCTTGGCTAAAACGCTGTGGAAAGTGACACTTTGCATTTGTTTTGCCCTGTAAATTGTTATTTATGTTATTTTCCCGTGAACCATTACACACGGGGACACGGCACACTCAGCGAAAGCCAAGCGCCTTGGCCGCCGCGGCCGCCCATCCCTTCTGCTCCTCTTTCGCGTTCTCCTCCTCCTCATCAAAATCCTCGCTGGATGTTACAGACCAGAAGCTATAAAAGTATTATGAAAAGTGTAGTTACATATTGCAATATGAATTATGCCTGCCAAGTGTGGGGCCTTATCCTTTATATGGTCCGTCCTCTCCCCTACAGGGCCCCGTAAGGCATCTTATAAATCCTTAAATTCCTTACGGGAGTCACCGTAACCGGCCTTCGGCCTGTCCGGGGGCGGCCCCGTACGGGGCGCTTCGCGCCCCAAAATCTTTACGGGAGCCACCGCAAAGTCCTACGGACCCGTACGGGGATACCGAAAAAAGGCCAAAAACTTACGGGCCCCGTACGGGGTGTCGAACACTGCTGGGTACCCGGGCATCCCGAAATCCTGGATCCTCACTATGCCTGAACATGTACGGGATCCAAACCCACTGCTTCGCTCGTCCTTCTGCTGGCCTGATTGAAATCTGCGGGCTTCTTCCGGCACCCGCTCAGTCTTAACAGCATGCACTTGCGTTTGTCTCTATCTGGGCCACCGCACCTGCCACAGCATTACGTTAAAGGGTGCTGCAACACGAGCTGCTCTCCTTAAGCAGTGTATGCACGTACTAGAGCCTACTCGCATGTGTGGGACACTACCTGGCCAAACTTACAGACCCACCGAAAGTAACGTTGACCCTGCTGCATGTTGCCCGGCACGGTTGGTCACCATCGTTTGTGAAGTGAGGGTGAACCACCTGCCTTCATTGCATCTTGTGCCCTGGCCTTCAATACATATGTCTGCTTTTAGGCCGTACATGCCTCAGCCCGATTCAAAAGTCTGTACGTGTCCGAAATGTGGATATGGCCAATTTGATGCGTAGGTCGGCGGGCTCGGCAGGCTACCGATGCTGGTGCTGATGGAGTCAAAGTATGGTCAAGAGCTGGTGCGTGTGCACCTATCGCAGGTACATTCCGTACACATGCACTGTCATACATACATAATTGATCATGATAAGGGCATCTCGCGCCCGCGCTAGCTGTCTTCGTTTTTCCGATAGTATGAGAAGCCTTACACTTATGGATGTATGCTACTAACCCTCGCCTAGTCTGTCATGGAGTTTATAGAACAACCGAGGCGATGAAAGGAGGAGGGGCGGGTAGCATAGGTGGTGTTGTTTCACCCATATTAAACCCACCAGCTGCACGAGAATATTTGCGCATTCTTGCCGTCACCAAAGCTTTTGGCACCCTCGTTCCAACACCTTGCCCAAGCAATCATAAGGCCCATGGAACCATCCGGTCAATCCGAAACCTGAACAAAGTATACAGCTCTGCTGTGTAGGGTAAGATGTACATTGTGCCGTACAAGTAATGCAGGACTTGCGAGCCGATATAGTAAATCTAACCAAACACAACCGGATGGTGGTGTCGGAAGACACCGATTGGAAGCGTTTTGTCGATATAAATAGCGGGGATGCAGCCATCTCATGAGTCGTACAGCCAGTTCCGGAATGGCGCGGCCAGTCCCGGAACGGTGCACCGTTAACGTTGATCCATGCTTCCAATTGATGACGGGGCTCCACGAGCCAGGGACCAGCGTCCCAGTCGTAGGCCTGCTGTGCAGCAGCATGTGGAGGCCAAGCAAGTTCATCTCCGGAGATCATTGTCGGATCCAACAATGGTGATTCCACCGTACATAGCAACTACACACCCCTGTCTGTCAGGATCTATCTGAGCTACGTACACAGACGAAATGCACATAGTAGCTACACTGCGTGCTGCTGCCCTCGGCTCTCGTACCCGCAGGCTGTGATGGCCCAGCAGGACGTTATCAAACAGGCAGAGTTTGTTTATTATATTATTATTATTGTTACACCGGTGTCCGCTCAACCTGGCGTGTGTTAAGGGGGGAACGCTCTGAGGTCTGCACCTAGTCAGTCCTATATGCTATATTCCCACCGCGTCACCTCTACGGGCCCTTTTCCACCTATCGTTGGTGAGGACGCCACACTGTCGCTGTGGGACACGACCAGTTATCGCAACCTGCCGGAGTCTGGTGCTCCTGTTACAACTTCAGGCCACGTGCATGTCGCACCGCCTCCCTACCCTTACACTACTGCACTCTACACAGCACCCTGCGCTTTGTCCTGGCGGAGGGTAGTTAACCCCCTACGACCCGCTTCACCCGCTGGGGGATTCCGCACCCCTCGTATAGGTCACCATCTAAGGCTCGTGCGAGGTTCGGCCTAGCCATGCTACAGCAGCTTTTTGATAGGTACTTTTGCTTGGGTAGCTCCATTGACCTTGTGCATCCATTCCTCCTCCTCCTCGGCGCCTAGCCTTCTGGTGACGGACTTGTCGTGATGACTTGTATGTGATATACACCACGGGTTACCTTGAGGAGAGCCTCAGAGGCTGATACATTATCAGCGAACAAGTCTCACAACCCATGGTGACGCCGGTGGGATTTGAACCCACATCTCCCACCGGTTAAGGTGGTGCTTTACCAATTAAGCTACGGCGCCGAGTTTGTTTAACCTAGTAATTGTACCTCCTGCCAGGCTGGACTAGAGATTGTTGCCCAGCTTAGACAAAATCCTCCCGCTTTTTTGAGCTTGTCCTGTGTCCTTGATTGCATTTCGTGCGTTTGGCAGGTCCATCCTGCGTTGCAGGAGCCTGACCCTCTGTGCAACGCCACATCGGGCTGCTTCTTCCTGAGCTCAGCCCAAAATTTCAGAGAGTTTAAGAAGCGCTATTATAGGATCGACGGCCTGCAGGAAAATGAGGAGGAAAACGATGAGCCGACAGGACGGGAAACTCATGATCATATGGACGATGAGCGGACAGGACAGGAAACTCCTCTCTATCCAACACGTTTTGGAGCGGTATGCTCAGACGGCAGCATCAGGGTGTCTGACTTGCAGGGCGAGAGCTATGACAAGGTGCTGTGGTGGGACAGGCGGCTGCAAAATGTATACGATGCTGACGTGTCACGCGACAGGACACTTTTGCTCGTCATGAACATTTATAGAGAGGCTGGAGGAGAAGGCCGTTTTCGAGGTGGGGCATTCATGTTGCTGTTGCCGTGGTTAGTTGTTGTCTGACTGAACATTTCTCCCTTCTGCTGTCAGTCTGATGATGACAAGTGGCTGTGATTGACATTAACGACCAACCGTCAACCAATGTCTTTTTGGCCATACACGTTGCCAGTAGTAGTAGACGTAAAAGGAGCTGCTGTACGTGCATTACTAACCGTGGCAACCATACTGCTCAGCATAATTGCTAGGTCTCAGGGTCCTGCCATCAGCAGTTTGCCCCTTTGTTGTGGGCCCAATATGTGATGACAAGTAGCATCATCAGGGTAAACCGGCAGAAGAAACGTTTTAACTAAACCTGTAGAAACCTACCTAACGCCTGGGCCGATCCAGTATTAAGGAATGTAGTATGACTTGGTGTAACCAAGCGCCGTATCAAAACCCAAGGAAGGGATTGACGACCCAGCGGAGAAATGCCAATCCATCCAGCAGCAGGTTGCCTCGCATGCTTTTCCTGCTTTCCCTGCTTGCTGGCCACACATACCAACATCTACATACCTCTGCAGAGGAGCTATGCGTTTACCACCTCACAACGGGCGAGCAGCTTTGGAGGCTTCATGTCGATTACGAGTTCATGCAGCTGGTGAACCCCTTTGCAAACAAGGACGACCGCGCTTACGGGGAGTACCTTGTGGCCAGCGACGATGCGGGGTCCGTGTCTGGGGATGATGGCGGGAGGACAACTCTTCAAATGCGCGGGAAGATGGTCACTTCTGGTGCAGACAGGAAGGTCCGGCTGTACAGTCTTGAATCCAAGAAACTTTTGCTGGTATGTATGTGTGTGTGTCTGTGTGTGTTATCATGCATAAATGCTGGCAGGGAAGTGGCTGGGAAGGACGGGCATGGCATATGCATGGCATGGTTGATAGCAACTATTTGCTGGACTCAGTGCTGCCTGCTCTTTTAGGGAGCAGGGGCTGTGGATTGATCCTGGCTTTATTGGGGGCAGACATGATGACTGGGTTCGGGCAGGCAGGAGGGAGGATAATTAATGGATGGTGGGGCGGGTAGCTATCTTGGGGTTGAGGTGTCGGTAGCTGGCTATGCAGCACGTAATGCGTTTTGAAGGGTGCAGGGCTGTTTGGATATTTGCCATTCCTGGTTCCTGAGCTACGGAAGGTACAAAACTCCGCATGGGACTATCGTATGGTAAGCAACTCTTGCCCTCCCGACCTGCACTCCCTCTTGCCCCCCCCGCCTGTAGGTGGTTAATACAGACAGTGTTCCCACAACTAGGCGAGTGCGTCTCCAGGTCAACAAGGACTTCGACAAGATGCTCACTACAAACCACGAGGAGGATTCGTGCTTAATTCTGTGGGACCTCAATACTGGCAAGGAGAAGCGTAGATACAATCGCATCCACACAAAGGGCATCTGTTGTGCCCGGTTCACAAGTGACGGGGAGAGCTGCTTAACAGGCTCAGTTGATAAAACCGCTGCAATCACCAACCTCTCAACAGGTGATGGGCTTTCCTTATCTTTCCTGTGAAATTCCGTTAGGATTACAGTTGCAATCACCTTAGTATTTCTGACATGGTGGTAACAAGTATCGTGAAGCACGTGGTGACATTCTTTTGGTGTACCTTTTATGGCTTTAGGGTTTCGTTCTGTTTGATGGCCGGCCGGGTATGTAGGTGTGCCTGCTGCATGTCTGCCTGCTGGCGCGCCCACCACGCACTCGCACATACATACGGGCTATAGGGCTTCAGACACAGCAAACATGCTAAGGCGCGGCATAAGTGTCCCTGGAAGGTTCCAGGATCGACCCCGGCAAAGTGGAATAAAACGTCCCTCAACCGTAAGCTGGAGGATGCACCCACATGCCGATGGACGGTGATGGACCCGGTTCTAGTGATCTGTGAGCCGACTAGAAGTGGAGTTGACGTTCCGTTGGTTCGGCAGATTCCACTGATGCTGGTGGTGGGTGCTGAACCCGAAAAGTCACCGACGTCGTAGAAGCCGGCATGGTTGAGAAGGATGAGGTGGGAAATATCGTGGAAGGCAGGAACTGCCAGGTAGTGGCCCCGGGTGAAGCTATAACCCCCCCCCGTGTCACACAATCATACAGGCGAGACAACACAGCGATTCGTGGGACATCAAGATGTGGTGCATCTCGCAGCACTGTCACCGGATGAAGACACCCTGGCGACTGGCTCGTACGACAAAACCGTGCGCATCTGGGACGTGGCGACGGGAGTCGTGCTGCACATGATTGCTGATCCCTACAGCGCACCGTCATGCATCTTGTTCCAGCATCCCGCATGGCTTCTGACTTGTAGCACGCACGGTGATGCTATGGGCATCAATATCAAGGTGATGAACTTGGGCACCTGCACATGTCCTTCAAAGAAGTTTATATTTGTACTTCGAACTACCAATTTGCACTTAGGACTACCAACCACCACTTAGGACTATTTAATTGCGTTGATCCTAGCTGTTATTGTTCATCTACCTAGACAGTATTTAGGGTGATGGTAATTAAATAGGCGGGATATAAGCATTCGGGCTGCACCGTCCATCCCATCTGCCGAGCTAATGGTGCATGCATCCTCAAGGTGTGAGGGGATCGGTCATCCATGCACATCCACTCATCCACGTTCTTGGTACCCGGTGGTCTCCCTCGCCGATTTAAATTATCCGATGTGGTATGTAGGAAAGGCCTCTCAAGGTAGATGCTGACAGAGCGCTTTAGCACATGTTTATAGACGGGCTGTGTGTTGTACTGTAGGGCAGCTACTATGTCCGCCCATTTCCGCCTAGCTAGCAACCGATGCTAACTTGAAGCTATACACAACCTTGCGACCGAACCCCGCTAGCGAGCGCTCACACATGCACGCGACGAAAGTAACTATCGTATCTTACCTTTCTACTGCTATGTGATTTGCACTCACCGCTTCCTTATTCTTCAATACGAATAGAGCAGTTGTTCAACACAGCTATCCTCCTCCCTAGTCAAGCAATCCGCCGCCGCTCACAGCCAAGCACACTAAGTCAGCCACCTTCATTTCTTGCGTCCACATGCCCCCGCTTGTTCCACCTACATACAGGATGGCATGAAAGTACCATGGTATGTCGGCTTACGTTGGCTGTTCTACTTTGATGAGGAATTGGTCAGGATGCGGCCCCTGATGTTGCCCGCCGCGTTTGACGGCAGCCCCAGTAGTTCTCCAATAGTTCTGACCTTCTCATCTAGGGGGAGTGTGACTTCACTGGATCTCTCGGCACGACAACTGCCACTGGAGCAGGTACGACGGCTAGCATGTGGAGGTGCCTCCAACCCCAGATCGTACTAAACTGGTTTCCTTCTTTGTATGTACTGCTGTTTGCTGGTTTGTTGTTGCTGCTCTTAGTACTTTATTCAAGCGGATCAGAGCGTGGCCGGCATTCCAGCCAGAAGTACTAGTAGCTGATGACCTTCACACACACCTGCCTGCTGCCTGCCTGCCCGGTGATCTGGCTGATTATATAGCTACCCAAACAACGAAGATACATGCGTGCATGAATACCTCACGACAGTCTATGTATTCTTCGTGCATTACCATGGAATCATGTATGTATACATATACGTATGTCTATATGTGTGTTCCAATGCACTGCTGCAGCTAGTTGATGAGTCAAATCAGCGGAGCCTGGACCGCTTATCCTCGTTGATTGAAACCTTCCCCGGCCTCGCGGTGGTGCCTGATCTGTTTCGTCATCACACGTTCCTGCACATGTGAGGGGACAAGTTGGATGGCCTGTGTGCGTGGGTTTATTGACATGATGTACCTGCAGCTAGATTCTGTTGGCCTTGTTGACCTGCTGGGTATATGCTTATTGCATGGGCCGGGGTATTGACGTGCTGCCGTCGAATCCTTTTTGCCTACTGGTACTGAACCTGCGACGCCAAGTAGGACAGCAAGAAAGTAGTTAGGAGCAACAGTTGGAACGGTGTACAAATGCACCCACACACACGCGCGAGCTGAGCTGTGGTACTAGATGTGGCACATTATGGTACACATCCCGTCTATAATTAGGTGGTGCTGAAGCGCTCTGCCAGCATGTTGAGAGCCGTTTACAAGGTCAGGGGTTTCACGTCCATCCTTCCAAAGTGAGTACAGGATCTCAGACTTCATGCCTTTACTCGTTTAGCTACTTACACGACTTAATTTTGCTTCATCCGGTATCCTTTCATACGCTGGGCACTCTTGATTTCACATGCTTTTCGTTCTCGGTTTTGCGGGATGTGTGACCGTACGTACCGCAGCCTGGAAAGGACTTCCGAGATGGTCGCACTACTGACTGGCATCATCTAGGACACATCATCCAGAGGCATACCCAAGAACCCTAGTAGTCGTAAGGTAGTACATTGAACTCATGATTGCACCACCACCGCCGGTGGTATTGCGTCACTCATCACTGCATCTGGTGCTGTGACTGCCACTGCGTGTGCTTACACTGCGGTTGCCTTTCTTAATACTGCTATTTCGTTTTGCTGGCTCTGCTGGAAGTGCGGCGGAAGGAAAAAATGGTGCAGGCCTCCTGAAGGTCCTGTTGGAAAAGGGTGAGGGGGTCATCAACTCGGCCCCTCTGCCTGCCAACCGCTACGGGCTCACACCGCTGGACATGGCGGTGGCGAATGGGTACTGGGACGCTGTGGAGCTGCTGCTGGCCAACGAGGTGTCGAGGGCTGCACCACTTCGGCTGGCAGTGATGAAGGTATGGGTGTGATGATGTTAGGTCCGGTATTTCCATTTTTGGAAAGTTAACGCATGTAATATTAACATTTCATTATTCATACTGCATGCGTGGATGATGCCAGTTGAGGTTATCGCAATGTTTATGACGACACGCACCTACGACCAGTAAGTCAGTCCATCCCTGCTGAAAGGCGGGTGGGCACATAACGGACCCACTGATCCACCCATCCATCCATTCATCCAGTGCTACGAGGACCCACACATTTCGCGATGTATGTATGTGGCTAAAGTGAGAACAATTTGACGGCATGGATGCCTGGTGCTCAGTGTAAACATGTACAGATTACTGGATCAATGAGTTCATGATGACTATGCTTGCTGCAAGCAATTGCTTGTCAGCTAATGATAAAACGACGGACAGATGGACGGACAGACAGGTGTGACCCCGGAGTGCTCGCGAGCCTTAAAGGCTGTTCGCTATAGCAAGGGGCACCTGTCGCCCATTACTCGCTACCACATTACAATGTATCTAGGGAAATAGTGGCATGGTACCTACCTGGACCCCATACATAGACCCACACCTCATCACACGCCATGCATCGCACGCCGACGTGCATATGTGTAAGAAGGGATCAGCTCCCCTTGGCATCTCCCACGAGTACTCTTTGTCTGGTCTTACAATATCCATATGCAGGCATGGAATGAGCTGGCGTGGAAGAGGCCTGCCATGCTGGTGAAGTTCTTGGATGCCGTTGGTATTGAGCGGCTCGTGGTCACCCAAGTAGCTAGGGGGGGGCCGGATAAAAACCTCCTGGTGTTCGGATCGCAGGTAGGTTGGCGGGTGCATGCTGGCTGGTGATGCACGTACATGCATATATGTGATGAGCTGATGACGAGGTGGGATATGAAATGTTTGTGTGTTATTCATGAAATGATGCATGTAGGTGCAGACTCAATCTCGCATGTGTATTTCCTTTACATCAGAGCACCTTGATGACTCGTACTGGGGGCAGCAGCAGAAGTGCGTAGCTACAACGTCGTGCTGAGCAATAATCAATTAACCTCTCCGCAGCCAAGTATGCTTATTAGCGAGGTCTGTTTTGAATTGCCTGGTCAGCTGCTGTGTCCGCTAGGGGTCTACGGCATGGTAGGTATGTAACATAGTAACCACACCGCATAGTAACCATGTAACACACACATAGTAACCGACGGATTGGCGAAGAATTATGTACGCCTGAGCAGCTGGATGCGAC